TATGGCTCCTGTGATTTATACATAGATATTATTCGATTATTATGCATTGTTGTGCCGTTATAGCTGCGCAGGATGGCTCTACTGTAGTCTTAACTACTTTATTTTGGCCACTGTTGGAAATTTAGTTTAGTGGTTTCTGGGGACAGGGCGCCTCCGACGGACCACGGGATAAACCCGACGGGCTGTGGGGTGACTAAGGAAGGAAAAACGCTTCTGCAGCCCTGACAGATCCATTATCATGAGATCGTGTCTCACCTGGAGAGACGATGATCACTTTCGCCCCACAGCAGGAAAAACAGTGCAGCAGAGACTTGGATCTAATGTTAAAGTTGAGCAAAGCAGCCGGACAGCCCAGCTTGGCCAAGCCGAGCCAAATCCACACAAAACTGGGCTCGTTGGCCAGGAACAGGGCGACCACGTCCCCCTCCTTCAACCGGATCTCAGCCTGCAGAGCTCTGGCCACTTTGTTGCTCTGTACATCCACTTCGCCATAAGAATATTCACGACCCTCAAAGTGCAGAAAAATCTTAGTGGGATGCCTCTTCACCGCATCCAAGAAGCAGTCCAAGATGCTGTAAAAAGGCTTGATTGTCTTGTATCCAAGTAGCCTGATGCCAAGTTTGATGATCCTCAGGATATACGTGCAGTCCTCGCCAAAGTAAGGGAAATTCTTAAGAAATGAAAAGGTCAGAAGAGCCAGCCCGGCTAAGACGGTGAAGCACATGTACATTTTGCAGAGCGCACTATGCTGGGAACATCTGTCAGGGTGGGAAGCACGCAGTTCAGGGATATTTGTGACCAAATTGACACAATCCGCCGGGGGCGGTGCTCAGCTCTGGCATGCCGCGTCCTCCTCCACACTGGAATGTTTTCTAGTTGCCAGATCTGGTGTTTTCACATCCACCGTGGACTCCTTTCTCACATTACACTCATGCTGTGTTATCTTCTATAACGTGCGTCTGTATTGAAAGATTTTAACAGCAAAACAAGTAAGTAAACAAAGTGACAAACGTGCAGGGAATAAGCGCTGCAGTCCGGTCCCATCGGACTGATTTACACTTGCGACACCTCCCGGATCGTTAACTGCAGTTGATTTCCTGGTGATTATTATGAAACGTCATTTTAAAGTGCAAGGGGTAACAAAAAGACTGAATCCACTGATAAAAACACCTTAATATTAAAAGTCAGAAAAACTATTACAGAAACTTCAAATGGCAACCCTTACTCAAGAATCCGAAATCTGAGCAAGTGGTGGGCGTTCACTGGTTTAACTGGACTGCATTAGTCTGCAGATATATGGGGAGCGGCGTATGGCTACGTCACACACACATTTACCTTTAGCCATATTCTGTTTAAAACTATGTAGATCACTGAAGCCTGTGTGACTTGGCCAAATTAAAAATTAACACGTGGCTGTTGTCTGGTTAATATTGTCTCTGCATGCACTTGCTTTTCATTTAGGTCAGAGGACAGCTAGTCCTAAGTAAACTGGACTCATTTTTTATAGAAACTTTGATTTAAAAATGCTAGTTTGCCCATAATAAGGGCTGAATGATTAATTTTCATATTTAAAAAACAAGTAAAGTATCAAACTGTGCAATATTAGACCTTGCAAGGGCTGCAATTTTACTTATACTGTATATTTAACAGTATCTTAAACTGGCTATACTGGTTTCACGTCTGTATACACAACTACAACCATTTACTTTAGCTTTAGTCGGTTAACGCCAGAGTGAATTGTGATTTAATAGGTTTGTGTGTAAGTTACAAACTCGTATAAAAGGAAATGTTCTAACTCGCATTAGGAAAGTATTTGTGATGTTGGAGCAGCACATCCAGTCTTCGTCAAACCCAGCCACAGCCACAGGGACATCGGCTCGTCTCTGGGGGGCAGCGCAGTGTCTCCCTCTTTGCTGAGGCAGCTCTGCAGAAAAACACTCTGCATGTATTTTAAAATATAGTACCTCGCTTTTAATTTAAAGAGCACGTACTGGACATCCAGGAAGAAGTAAGGAAAGCGGAATAAAAGTGCAAGAAAAACCACATCCAGAGAAGCACTGTTACCTGCGCGTTGGTCTGTGTCGAATGAAAGTTTTATGTTCCCAAAAAACTGAAGACCGGGTTAAAAAGTGAGGAGGAGGAGGAGGAGCATTACTAAAGGTTGGGAAATGTCTACAATGGTCAAAAACTGGCAGAATTACCAAAGTACTTTGTGATTCAGTCAGTCAGTATATAAACTATGGTGTTCACTTGATTGGTATCCTTCTGTGATTTTTACTCACCATTTAAATGATGCTGAAAAGATTAGTTCTCACCTGGTGTATCTGAAGATGAACTTTGGTTTACAGGCAAACAGGGCTGGATTTATACCATCTGACATGACTGTGTCATGTCTGAATATATACCTTTTCAATTTGCTGGTGAAGTTCAGCGCTTTTTGACAAATGAATTATTCATTATCAATGTGCAGCAAAATTATAAGATTTATTAAAAGGACAAAGAAATATATAAAAACTATTTATGCACAGCATATCTCATTGATGTGATATAAAATATTCCAAAAAATAAAGCCACAAAGACACTGGAGTGAAAACAGAAGAGTGACATAAGCTGTGCACCTTATAAACCCAAAGTGCTACAGTAGATAACTTTGAGCTGCCAGCATCTCACATACTGGGTTGTCACAGGATTAAAAATTAGAAGCTACAACTCCTGGCATAAAAACATTTTCTCCAAAACGCACATTACCTCTAAGTACAGGGATGCAAAAGAAGCATGTGAATACTTGTGGACATTAGCTTCATAAGCTAATACTGTGGTATCCCTGGAAAAAAAAAAAACACTTAGAAAACATCTTTATACTTTCTATTTATTGAGGCTGTATTTATCCAACCTCTCAGAGCAACAGTGAACTGTGAGACAGTAAATTCCAAAATCTGCCTGCTTGAGGGGTTTGGGAGCTTTTCAAACAGAATCAGGTTTAGGTCAAAGCTGGCTGTCTGGTCAGTGCACCTTGCTGAAGTAAGTCAACGGTTTACTTACTTCAATTCAGAGTATATAGCTGAGGGCCCACTGAGATTTAAAACCAAACCCTGCAGTTGCATTTTTAAGGCTTGGCTGAAATGTGACCAATAGGATGAGGGGGGGGAAAACATGAGGGGATAAATTGTCCAGACCAGGACAGGCATGCATGAAATGTGTGAAGTGGAACAAGCTATGCATTCAAGCTATAATAGTTTGACGTTTATGGGAAGCTTGTTTTCTTGTTGAGAGGTACGTGAGAATATCAGTACCACTATGAAGCTAGTGACAGCAATAGCTTAGCACATGAAAGCAAAGAAGCACATTCCCACTATGTCAAACTACAACACACATACACAAACATACTGCAAGCAACTATGAAGGCAAATGTTCTACATCATGTAAACTTTATACACTGCATTAAAGGCACTTTTTTGTGAGCCATCTAAAACTGTCAGGTCAGTTCAGTCCTACCTGCCTTTCACGGTGTCATTTTTGTGTAGAACAGACTGCCAAGTGCACTGTCCTGTTGGCACTGTCTCAGCTCAGAGAACAGAGGCCTGGGACAAACTCCCTGCTGCTTTTCACCCTCAGAGCCAGGAGTGGGCTCTCTGTGTGTACTCATCTTTGTACTAGGAAAGTTTGAGATCTGGATGTGAGGTGTCTTCTTGGCGATCTCATTATAAACAGTCAGGTCAGACTTGTCCGGGGTGAGGCTGCCAAACTCTCCACTGGCCGATATAGCAGAGACAGAAAACGGCTTAACTGGTTCTACTTTCCTCCCTGAGTAGGAGTATCTAGGGACTTGGAAGCTTGTGTCCGGGTCACTACTGATTGTGCTCCAGTTGGTCTGTTTCTCATCTCTGACAGGAGCCTGTTGGATGAGGAAAGGTTTGCTCTGATCCTCTGAGTCACCTCCCTGCAGGTACAGCTCCCTACTCTTACTCCTTACAGACACACTGACAAAATCCACCTGGGATGGAGAAGCCATCTGTTGAGAAGGTTTGTAACAGTGATGGTGTGTGTGAGCAGCAGTTTGGGGTTTCATCCCTGCACCCAGTGAGGGCTCCTCCTTCCCAGAAACAGAAATGGCCTGATGGCTCAAAGGTTGAGTCCTGGTAGCAGCAGTGAGGTTCTGCTCTGAATCAGCACAAGTCTGTTCCCTGTGGGATCTCTCTTCTGGGCTGACGTCAAGAAGCTCAGTTATTGTGGACGGGTTCGTACTGAACCCCACGTTTCGACCTGGAGGGCAGTCAGCGGTGGACAGATATCAAACAATCTGCCAACACAAAACACTGATGCAGACCATACTGACATTTTGGGGAAAAAAATCCACAGTAAAATAGGCCTGTACAACAGTACTCACTTGGTAAACTGGAGTTCTTTCCACATTTACTTCTGATAGGTGTCTCGAGCACTTTAGCCATGGCTGCTAGCTTGCGTGCAGCATTCATTATTTTCTTTTCAGCCCTGCAGAAGAGAGTAGCATCCATACAATTAGCTTGAGGAGCCACGATGATCATGCAAACAAGTTTAGGACAATAATGGGCTCTTGCCCTGTAGTCTTTCCGCTGTCCTCCAGTAACTCCTGCAGACAGGTCAGATAATAATGCCGCATCTTTCTGGCAGTGTGCTGCCTCTCCCTCTGCACCTCAATGCGGATCATCTCTGCTGCTCGCTCCCGGCTCTCCTGGAGGTAACGCATCATGTCTCCTGCCATTAAAAACACATTCACTCTCATAGTCTGTTGTTTACCAGGAGCATGCAGGGGAAATTAACTTGGTGAAGTGGGTGCATTTGCAGATTTATATACAAACCTGCATCAGATTCATGAGTGAGGACAGACGACTAAGAACAGATGGCATCATACATAGAGAGCTGAAATAGTATCATGTTCTGTCTGCAT